TACAGCCACAGCTACAACCATAGCTACAGTCATATCTACAGCCACAGCTACAGCTACAGCCTCAGCTACAGTCATATCTACAGCCTCATCCTCAGCTACAACCTTAGCTACAGCCTACAGCCATAGCTACAACCTACAGCCACAGCTACAGCCTACAGCAGCTTGGAGAGTGAACGCATGGGCAGACTAAAATAATTGTCCACTCTTCCAAAAGAACTCTAATAGGCCTGGCAGGCACTCAGCGTTAGATCAGCCAGAAACCAGAGGAAGATCCATGCTGGGTCCTGTACGTTTATCTCTGACTAATACTATGCCAAGAGGATCCAGCCCAAAAAATAAAGATGGTCTGTTCTGAAAATAGTTTAGCTGAAGTGCTATGGTGTGGTATATCTTATTTACGTGAGGGGAAACCACTTGGAATACAAATGGAAAGAGACAAGAGTCAAGGTCAACCATGAAGGTCACTGCAGAAGAAACATGCTAGGCAGACCATCCCATTAGGCCTTTTTAAGATTATTCAAATCTTCTCTAATGCATTCTAGATTAGAAATACAGTCATAGCACTTTAATGCTGCATTTATTTTAAATGGTCGTGGGGAGCAGTGTTGTGGGTCTGGGTAGGATTGGAGCAGTAGAGATTTCACTCTATGAAGGACTTAAATCACTTCTTGAGACAAGTGTAGCAGAAAATTGATAATTACTGGCGGCACAGCTGTGCCTAGTCATCAGGTGTGACAAATACCCCCCCCACCCCCCTCCCAAAAAACGATCATAACAAAAGTCGAGCCCAAGACAGGGGATGACAAATATCTACTTGTTTGTTGCGTCTGTGAGATTGTTTATTGCTGTGTGTCAGAAGCAGAGTGCGTGGCCACTCATGCCCTCCCCTGACCATCCCATGCCCCAGGCCAGAGGCTCCGTGCCAGGACAGGGAGACGCCACAGCGGGTTCAGGCCTCCAGGAATGTGGTGCACTCTGACCAGAGACAGACTGGGTGAGCTCTGGCCTGTCCCTGTCCCGGTAGGCTACTCTCCTCACTGCAGAACAGAACGCTGTCTCAGCTCCCAGATTCCATCTGGCTCCTCCTGTCTGTCTCCGACACTGGAACTAATCTACCCCCCACTCCATCTCCCACAATGCCGTGCGAGATTGTGCCGCTGGGGCCTGCTCTGCGTAATTCATTGGCAACGTGAGGGCAAAAATAACACACTGCAGAACAGCAAGGTTATGACTATGTGTCAGTGGTGTCATAACATGTACATTTGCCATCATCTGAAATCTAAGTGTAGATTAACTAAAAGCGCAAATCTACCATTCGGTCAGAGTTTAATATTTTCCTAGGCAGGTGAATGGAGTAAGGGGGAAAGGTTGCGGTGGGGTGAGGCTGCTCATTCAATGTGTGCATGCATGTGTCACATAAAAAGAGGGATCTGATAGGGGTTGTGTTAGTAGTGATGAGGGAGTTGAGTTGGGTTGAGGGGGACGTAGCCCTCCCTCCTGGCTGGCTGGCCTGGGTCTCCTCATTACCGTCAGTCAGCATCAGGTTTAGCAGGGCCAGGCTCCAGCAGCCCTCTGTCCTCCCTGCCCTCCTTCCCTCTCTCCCTCCCTCCCCTCCCTGCTGTCCACTGCCTGCCTGCTGCCATTGATAAGTACAGAACACGGCCCTGAACCCCCACCAAACCTAATTACCCTCGACCCACAGCAAAGAGACCAGGCCAGGGAGAAGAGAGGAGGGGAGAGGGTACAGCACTCAGGAGCCAGGCATCACACAGAGAGCACATGCATATACTGTATGGCACACATACGCTAAACACAAAGACAAGCATATTGTGTATTAAGACTAACAATGTATGCTCACTCACACACCCACAGACATGATAAATTGTATAATGACAATGTGTAGAAGAGAAAACAGTATCAATGACTGAGAAGTGCTTTGACAGACTGAGTCTCTTCTGACTGTCTTTTGCTGATTCTGTCTGACCATTCAACAAACAGTCATTCATATGCCTGGGCTTTGGCCTCATTCTTGTCTGGACCAGTTTATTGAGGCTGTTCAAAGCTGGAACAGCATAGGGTCAGGGATTTAAACACATCTCCTCCCACTCTAGAACATCCATTACCACAGGGAGAAAACATCTCTCTGTGTCGCCCTCCATCTGGGGGGGTTTGTTTGTGTCGGCTATAAACCTTTTTCGCCAGGAGGTGAGAGGGAGGTGACGATAAAGAAATCCCATCAACGGAACACTGATTGATCGACTTTTCCCTCACCCTGATCCAAGTTAGCTTTGCCAGCTATCGGATTGTTTCTTGTTTTCAGTGAAAAGTCAATGCACTTCCTGTCGGTTGTAAAAACCCATTTCAGAAGTGCATTCATTTTGAGGGAAAACAGAAATACACATAGGGTATGTTTTCCATTAGAAATAGTGAGGTTGTGTTTCTGTCTGTAAATGCTTGTCTCCAGTCTCAGAGGAATGGAAAGATGACCTACTATCATCCAATGTGAAAACACGTAAGATAAGAGATATACTGTATATAGAGATATGTGCTATATTAAGTATTCTGTTCTATATACTGTAAAGTATTATGTTATATATAAAATAGTTTTGTCCTTCAAAATTCTTTCAAACTCTGGCAGTGGTGCACGACTGAGTTTGAACAGGGAATCTGGTGCTTTTAATAAACTCATATGGACATTTAGAGTAGCTGGCAGCGATGGTTTCATATTCCCAGCAGTCAGCTGTGTCAGTTGAAATGAAAATCATTCTGAGATGATGTAGATGATGATACTAAAATCACCTAAAGATAAACAACATAACTGAGAGAGGCGTAACAGCAGATTCACCAGGTTTTGAGAGGCTGTCAAGAGTGAAAAAAGTGGAGGAGATGGAAGGAGGGGTGAGAGACAGAGAGGGAGAAAGAGAAAAGAAAAGTACAGCACCTTCACACCCCTTGACTTTTTTCACATTTTGTTGTGTTACAGCCTGAATTTAAATGGAGATTTTGTGCCACTGATCTACAAACTATACCCCACAATGTCAAAGTGGAATTTAGTTTTTATAAATGTTTATACATTTATAAAAAAATTAAAAGCTGAAATGTCTTCAGTCCATAAGTATTCAACCTCTTTGTTATGGCAAGCCTGAAAAAGTTCAGGAGTCAAATTATTTGCTTAACAAGTCACATAATATGTTGCATGGACTCACTCTGTGTGCAATAATAGTGGTTAACATGATTTTTGAATGACTACCTCATCTCTCTACCCCAAACATACAATTATCTGTAAGGTCCCTCAGTCGAGTAGTGAATTTCAACCACAGATTCAACCACAAAGACCAGGGAAGTTGTCCAATGCCTCGCAAATTTGGGCACCTATTGGTAGATGGGTAAAAATAAAAAAGCAGACACTGAATATCCCTTTGCGCATGGTGAAGTTGTTAATTACGCTTTGGATGGTGTATCAATACACCCAGTCACTACAAAGGTACAGGCGTCCTTCCTAACTCAGTTGCCGGAGAGGAAGGAAACCGCTCAGGGATTTCACCATGAGGCCAATGGTGACTTTGAAACAGTTACAGAGTTTAATGGCTGTGATAGGAGATAACTGAGGCTAGATCAACAACATTGTAGTTACTCCACAATACTAACCTAAATGACAGAATGAAAAGAAGGAAGTCTGTACAGAATAAAAATATTCCAAAACATGCATCCTGTTTGCAATAAGGCACTAAAAGTAAAATTGTTATTTTCTTTATATACAAATCATTATGTTTGGGGTAAATCCAACACAACACATCACTGAGTGCCACTTCATATTTTCAAGCACGGTGGTGGCTGCATTATGTTATGGATATGCTCATCATCGGCAAGGACTAGGGAGTAGTTTTAGGATACACATAATAGAGCTGAGCACAGGCAAAGTCCTAGAGTAAAACATGGTTCAGTCTACTTTCCAAAAGACACTGGGAGACAAATTCACCTTTTAGCAGGACAATAACCTAAAACTCAAGGCCAAAGATACACTGGAGTTGCTAACCAAGATGACATTGAATGTTCCCGAGTGGTCTAGTTACAGTTTTGACTTAAATCGGCTTGTTAATCTATGACAAGACTTGAAAATGTCTGTAGCAATGATCAACAACCAACTTGACAGAGTTTGAAGAGTTTCAAAAAGAATAATGGGCAAATATTGTACAATCCAGGTGTGCACAGCTATTAGAGACTTACCCAGAAAGACTCACAGCTGTAATCGCTGCCAAAGGTGATACTAACATGTATTGACTCTGGGGGATGAATACTTATGTAATCAAGATATATAAGCATTTTATTTTTCATTAATCTTAAATGTTAGAATTTTCTTCCACTTTGACATTACAGAGTATTTCATGTTTTGTTTTTTTTATCCCAATTTGTAACACAACAAAATGTGGAAAAAGTCAAGGGATGTGAATACTTTCTAAAGGCACTGTAAGTAAGAATGGAGAGCATGTAGGAGAGCAGCCCTTGAGCAGGTTTCTTAAATTGGCATTGGAGTAGAGAACTGCACTCCTGGGTCTTTCTCCTTTGGAAAGCATTCCCTATAGTGTGTGTGTGTGTGTGTTGGTTCTTCTATCCTTGTGGGGACCTAAAATCCCCAAAAGTCCCCACAAGGATAGTAAACAAAGAAAATTCTCCCTCGTGGGGACATTTCCCACATTCCCATGAGGACAATGGTTATTTTAAGCTTAGGGGTTAGGTTTAGGGTTAGGGTTACAATTGGGTTAGGGAAAAGGTTAGTGGTTAGGTTTAGGGTTAAAAGTTAGGTTTAGGGTTTGGGTTACGGGTTAAGGTTAGGGTTATGGTAAGGGTTATGGTAAGGGTTAGGGGTTCGGGAAAATAGGATTTTTAACTGAAATACATTTTAGGTCCCCACAAGGATAAATGAACATAACATGTGCGTGTGTATCTGTTGGGGGGGGGGGTTCTGTTTGAACATCACACAGCGTCACCTTTGGACTTCATTAAAAACTTGCAGAGGAGTTTTCTCCCTCAGCAACACGTTTGTCCCCAGCTCCAGCACCATGGGACACCTGGGAGCTTTTCTCCAGCTCAAAAAATGAAGCACACAACAAGAAAAGAAAGAAAGAGAAAGAGGTGTGGGACCAGGACCAGACAAGAGGAAGAGGAAGAGGGAGGATATGGTGTTAGAGTGAATCTATTCTAGCCCTTCCAGAGAGTAGAAACTCCAGCCACGCCTCCCCCTACCCTCCACACTACCACCAGCAGCAGCAGTCCCTCAGCAGTAGGGAGAGAGAGGCAGGCAGAGTACACAGCTGACACACAGGGAAATCTGGGCCACTGCTTTGATGGTATTTATGACTGATAACCCAGATCTATTCCCACTCAGGCCTCCTACGGTACACTTAGTTAGCTGCAGACAACATTTGAAGGTTACTCCATCTACCTTATTAAAATCTACATATACTGTAATTCAGCACCAAATAAAACTTTGAAAACTTTGTGATTGTCAAGCCAAGTAAACAGTATTACTCCTTTTTAGTTCATTCAGAGACTGTTCAGTACATCCAGAACATATCTATTTGTGTACACTACAGAGAGGCTCATCTCATCAGTGCAGCCCAATGACTGCCATTGATGTGGCGACTAGTGGCTGCTAGTGAAGCCTAATGAGGCAAACAGCCCCTGGTGAGACAGCCGGGCGGTGAGGAAGGGGTTAAGCTGCGCTACTCGCCTTCTCTGAGTGGCCCAGCTCCTTCCTTTCATTTCCATAACAAGTCATCAGAGCTCATCTCCCAGCAAAGTGGCCACAGTCCCACTGGCAATTAAAATCATGTTGGGACACGCTATGACTGTCTGTGATTCAGCAGTGTGAAAACAACAACAACAGTGGCAGCGACGGTATCGGTAACGAAACGGGCATCTGAGAAACCAATCTCTAGCGATGTGGGCAGCAACCACCACTTCGGTTTCTAAACACACCAGGCTGACATCAGCCCACAGTTTTCATGTTCCTGTGAAAACACAAAGAGAACAGCTCCACAAAGGAGGAGAAGAGAGAAACAGCACCTGTACGTTTCTCTCTCATACCTACTGTAACTCCTCCATTCACCTCACACATACATCACATTTTGAAATTCTACACATTTTGTCATGGGGCTGAGGGAAAAAAAATTGTTTTAAAGGGGCAATCAGCAGTTACTACGTCCATTTTTGGACTTATAAATGAATGATATGTACCCATTGATTCTTGAAGAATATAACTTATAAAATGCCTCATGAGCTTATTAGTTCAACTGTCGTACCCCATCAGAACCCAAAATATAAACTTGTTCTACTCCAATGTTTGTAAACAAAGCAAATGTAAACAAACACTGTATAGCATCAAAACATGGTTAAAACTATCATTTTTATATCATGGATGGTCAGTCCTGCCATCCATAGCTCTGTCTATGAATTTGAGAGAGGTTACATTTCTCCAGGCCCATCCCTCAGTTTTTACCAAAACGGGGCGGCCAGGACACTTTGTTATTGTTTCAACTTCTAATTTCCTGCAATTCTACACATTTGGCCAAGGCTTATTCCATGTTCTTATGCTATCTGAGTGACTCAAACATTATAACAAAATCAATGGTGTACCCATTCCATGCCATTTTTTAAATTTTAGAAACTCCCTTACTGTCAATTTTATTCGGTGATTGTTAGTTCTCAAAGATGATCTTATTAAAAAATGTATAGCTCCATTATCTTTTCTATATACTTTAGATCTGGTTTTAGTCGTTTAAGTTTACACTGAAAACCAATGTCTGAAGTACCTGGGTCAAAATCTACAATCCCTAACGCACAGTAACACAGTACTATAAACAAAGTATGCTACAGTGCATGATAGATGGAGGGTGGAGTGAGGTGTGAGCCCATGAGGAAACCAAAGCCGATAGGTCTCTTAACATTTTTGTTCCCCAAACCAGCGCCACGGAGGCACCTGCAGCCTGCCCTAGCAGCTGCCCCACTGAACCCCATCTCTCACTGGGGACATGCCTCTTAAACAACAGCAACAAGCAGCAAGGCTGAAGAGGATGAGGAAGGCGGGGGGAAAGAAACGATGACGAGTGTTTTCTAAATGGCAACCTCAGGCCCAGACTGCTTATAAAGGCCTTAAATCAATTGAACATGAAGGAGAAAGCCATGCCATGCTACTCTATCTGCCTTAATCCTATTGCTTTGAGATCCTTTGAAATCCACATTCTCTTAATACTACAAATAAAAGCCCCTTTCTCCTGTAATGAGCTTGCCCTACAGCCTGACTAAAACATCTCAACTGCAGGTTTTTCTGTACTACTGTACCAATTCTGTTGAGGTGTCATTGTTTTCGTCCAGTGATGTAACAAGAGCAGTAGAATGAAACTGGATGTTTATAAGGTTGTGATTTTTTTTTATGTATCTCTGAGTGATTCTGTTCTCTACCATGTTGTTGATCCCAGCTAAACAGAGCATACTTTTGTAAAAGGTTATACAATAATAAGCACAACAGCTATGCCTTCCAGGGAGGAGGTTGCTTTCCGGAGGAAAAACATATTGGTTGGTTGTTTTTTATGTGTTTTAGATGTTCAGGGACAAGCCGAGGAAGATAAAAGGTTAAAGTGACAAACAGGCAAATTAGGGAGTGAAAAAAAGCTGGTAGTTTCTCAACCATATGCCGATACCCTTAAGACACCATGTGCTCTGGCTTTGAAAGCTTTCACTGCCAATTCCCCATTTGAAACCTGAACCGCTCAGTAACAACACCTCCCTGTGAGCTGGTGGGAAGGAGAAAAATCCATTATCGATCTCCACCCATTTCAGGTCTAAAAGGTCTGATGTGAGGAGCACTACATTGGCCTATAGGCTCACCCCTCTACCCCAAAGCTTGTCATATGGGGATAAAGAACACACTTCTCAACACTGCGGCTACACCATGATTACCAACACCACCTCGACAAACAGAGTGTGTGTGCACACGCGCACGTGTGTGTAGCACACACAAACAACCAGTGACCAAGCCAGGATTCTGCCATTATGAAACATGATACTCTCATCATTAACGAGTTACCTACATGTCAAATATCACCTCTCTATTGTAATTGCTTCATTTTGGTACAATTGGGATCAGCATAGGGGAAATCTCCAAAGGAGGCTGCTGACCATGTTTTTCTCCTTAACAGTAACACAAGCACAATCATCTCTTCTTCTATGTAATTATAAACTCACAAATAGTCATCATAGTATGATTGGTCTAGAAACACATTGAACTGAGCTGGAAGTGCTCCCAAGCTCATAGCACAAGTGCCTTTGGAGTGTTTTTTCCTAAATTAAATGAGTCCTGTTGCTAATAAAGAAAAGTGCTTTAGAGAATGAGGCTGACTGGTCAGTTAGCAGCACTAACAGTAAGTGAGGTGGTTTGCTCTTACCTTAGGTTGAGCGCGTCGGGGGAAGGCAACCTTAGGATCAATCTGTGAAAGATAGAAACATAAAGGGTGTGTTAAGAAATGGTCATTTGTGCATCAACATTCAGACAATTTTAGCAACAGAGATAGAATGCTAAAGTTTCTCCAAAGTGACAACAGCATTTCTAAAACTTCAAAATACATGCCATCATTTTGATGCTGAGAGATGATCACAAAACGGGAACAGTGCCTTGGAAAGTTTGGAGGAAATTATTATTTCAAGATCACAAGGTTGGAAATAGTAGTCTGAGGCCTGTGAGAATAACTCCAGATATTCCGAAATAAGCAGGAAGGTGCATCAGATCAACCTGTTTTTCTGTCTTTGCCTTGTCGTTTCGTTAATTATTTTTTTCCTCTGTTTCACTGGTATTGAGGCGTGGGGTTGCAGCCTTATCAATCTTGCATTCAGAATGAAAATAAACTATTTAATGCACCAATGTCATGCTGCCTTCTCCTGACTTTAATACCAGGCTCTTAAAAGAGAAGTTTCAAACAATCTCATCCAAGCAGACCTATTGAAGGGGAAAAACGTCAACAGATCGAAATTGTTCTCTTGCAGAAAATTACTTTGTGTTCAGCAGGGCAAAGCCTTTACTTTGCTGCGTATTTCTCAGTGATGATTTTGAAGGCTTGCATACCAACAGGTTGTATGTAATCCACCACAGCATCATCATAGAGATCAAGTCTGTCTCAGTTGGCCACATGTAGGCCTGAGATTTCTCTCTCAATTTACAAAAAGAAGCCAAAAAGATGGAGTAAGTGGTGAACTTTGCTGGAAGTGAACATGTCACATTAGCTGGACAAAACATAGTCCTACTATAAAACCTCTCCATCTCATAGGCTTATGAATAGAGAACACTAATATCACATATTCATAAAAAAACATTCCTCAATAATGAATGCAATTGAAGATTCAGTTGAAAAAAGAGACAAAGGTTACCATCTGGGAAGTTTGTAGTCAAATGAGAAAGAGGAACATGTGAGAACCAAGCAGGAACATATTTCTATGTCCTATTTCAATCTTGCGGAGTTATGATTATTAGCCATGTTTCTAAATCAGGTCAATTTGAGAGATGAATTCAATAACACCTGGGTATGGCAACCCTGCTCATAATGAATTCCATGTAATGATTCATTTTAGCACTTAGCCTCAGGCATAACCAATTCAACCTCCAATACTCAGTGGAGCTGGGCCTATTTGTGCAAAGACAACACTATAGGCCTATACTTTGAATATCAAAGCCGTCATACTTGGTTGTGTCTTACCTTTCCAACCTACACACCAGTCCCTGAATATCAACTCAGCTGGATATGGGCCTGTTTTTTCTCTCTCATACGGTACATTTTCATTTGAAGATGTCAACATACATTTCTGCTACAGTTCAACTTTTAAATAGAATAGCAGTGAAGGTGGTACAATTTAGCGTTGCAGCATGTCAATCGAATCCACAATGGATTTTGAACTTGACAAATAATTATTCTGCATACAATCACTACTATTCAACTAATTGGACATAAAAGTTTGTTTATTGAAATGGCCAGATAATGCAGTCATTTGTCCAGATTACCAGTGTAGCTGTGTTAGGTAATGATGACTTAGTATGGGATCTGTTGAGAAAGCTTGTAGAAGCAAACCTTTATTTAGGTCACAGCCTAGGAATTGAATGGTTCTTTTGAGAGGTTTGCCAAAGGGGGGGGGGGGGGGGGGGTGAATAAATTCTACAGTTTGTTTTCATTCTGTTGAAGTATTCATGTAAATTGGAAGTTTATGTGGGAATTACATTTAATGCCTGGGCACAATCATATAGGCCAAGTATTTCACATTACAACAGTACACTAAAGCATGTCTAGAACTAAAGGTTATTCCATTTACACGCTTCCATAGGAATAGCAGTTTGCTCTTTTGTGTTAATAATTGATCTCGTGGCGTACTATTTCCACCCACCAGTAGGAAATAAATCACAGAGTCTCATTGCAATGAGGGGATCATTTCTAGATCCATGAAATGATAACAAATCCACCAACAAGAGCATAGTCTTTTCAATCAATGCAGAATAATGTTTCAATTCTGGTACAAATTATACTGCATACATACCGGTAGCTTTGTCTCCTAATGGATCACATCCCAAAGTGTAAAAATAGCTATTTCTCAAGCTCTACAGTCGACATCTTCCAACTAGGTATGTCAGACTAATAAAAAAGAACAAACCAAAAGCAATACATTCCTTCTCATTTTTTCTTCTCTTATCTTCTGTTACAGCTTTTTACGGCAGGGTCTCAGAGGGCTTCTCACTGTGCGATTGTGTAAGATCCAGGCAGAAGGCAATTGCTTACATCCTTAGTTCAGATCTTCCAACAGGATTTCATACATTATTGCAGCTTCTGGGTAAACTCTCTCTCTTAACAGATCTCACTCTATACTGGCAGTTTAAGATTAAGATTGGTTTTTAAAGCTACAAAAATTGCTTATCAAAAGGCTTAATTTCTTTACTGTTTTTTTGTGTGTTTAGAGCGATTTAGGAAGCATTGATATCCAATGATTTATCATCTGCTTCTTTCTGTCAATCTCCCTAAGGTTTTCATACACAAACAAGTATAATCATCAATGTCAAATGCACTGCCAACAAATACCCAAATGAAGCCTCATCATTTCACTTGAGGCCATTTAGCATTCCCTCATCAAAGCAGTATTTTGGGGGGGAACGTTAAATCGTTCCCGAGCAATTGATTACCCACATATGGGCTATTCTGAAGCCTGCATTTCCCTGCTGTTGTAAAAAAGAAATGATGTCTGTGTTGTTTCAATTCAATGTATTATCAGTGCAACGAATGATGACAATGAAAAAAGTACTGCCTGTTTAGATGCTGAATACTGTAAAAAGAAAAGTCTGAGGAGAAAACCAAATCCATTAGAGGATCTGTTGAATCTAAGGCTGGAAAAGGCAGGTAGAGCTTACACGGTCAACTGAAGACAAAGCACCTGCTAGACATGAACCAACAAGGGGCACGGTGGAGGTGAGCTCACAGCTGACATTACTTTCAATTGATATCTGACAGAGGAGGCTTAGATTTGTCCAGATCAGCTGCACCAGCCCTTTCTTCTCTCTCTCTCTCTCTCTCTGGCCTCATCCCCCTCACCTCAACGAGACATTCTGTCCTTTGAATCTACTACATCAAAACAGCAAACAGGGGTTGGCCAGAGGTCATTCAATAATGGCAAAAAATATCTGTAGACAAAATAGGCTACCTTTGTTTTGGAAGAAAATAAGACTTATTTAGCAGTACAGTACATCTCCTCTGGCAGGAGTCCAGACTGAATAATCCCGACCTGGTAGTCTAACACTATAACTCCTCACATAAAGAAGAATTAGAATCAATTAAAATCATTTTCGTCATCCTTTCTTAAACTAACTGTACGTAAAAAGATAACTTATACTATTCCAGATGGGATATAGCATAAAATAAAATATAACATTCAAAATATGTTCTGAATGGCTGCCATGTGTGTTTTGAAGCCTCGGGCTCTCCTTGGCCATATGTCTCCATTCACATTCATACTGGTCTGAAAGCACTCTGTTTTCATAACCGGACAGAAAGCAACTCAGGCTATCAGGGGGATTTAACAATAGCTGTGGCCACGTTATGATGGTGTGTGCATTATGAAAGCATACATGTGCTCATTGTCCACATCTCTCGCTGACATTTTTCTCCACGGGGTAACCCTCCTTCCACACTGAGACCATTAGCACTAGAGAACATCCACTAAAAAAAACAAAGGAGGAATATCTATGTAAAATGTAATACTGCTTGGAACTGGAGTAGGCTGTAAAAAATCTCCAATATTTTGGTTTAAGAACACTGTACCATTTCTGCTACAGGATGTGAAGAAAATCGTAATGTTTTTTCACATTTTATTTAAAGTTACATCAGCCCTCAGCCTCTTTCTAAACCTGCAGACTTGTAGGGTATTGCATGTCCAGGTTAGTCTCACTAAGATCAAATCTCTTTTGCAAAAGACACCTGGTACAATACAGCATCAGAGACTGCAAGGCACTGTTTAACACTGTAGTTAGTACATACAGCATATGACATACATGCTACACGTGCGCGCTTCTGCCGAATGACTTCTGGAATGTAATATAAGGCAGAAAACTTCTGGTTCAGGTCTATGTGATGTAAGAGTTGCTTCCTTTGCGTGCCGGCAAAGTGCCCTCTTTTGCTTCAGCATCACATCAGGAACTATCAAATGTCGAGCTCAGTATTGCTTAGTATCAATAGGGCCATGCTTTAGGTTAGGTCCTTCAATTACTCAGCTCATACAAAGAACATGACATCCTCCCTCACTCTCTTCAACTGCTAAATCATTGTGCTTTTAGAATGATAATCCTTATGATTTTCATGGGCTATTCTCGCTGGCTTATCAATATGCCATATGGTATTATTATTTACACAACACACCTTAGTGTAAGGGAACTTAAACTAAAAGTAATAAATAAATGTGTAGTGTTCTGGAAGAAAATAAACAAATAAAACATTACAACATGATTGTAGGTTTCAAGACTTGTCTGCATACAATAATATGTCAAGCTACAACCTGTAATTTCAATTATAGTTTACTTCACTCAAATTAAATCGTATTCATTAAACACTGTATGGACAAAATGGAAAACAAATGGATTTATTAAGGCTAGAGCTTTATTTATACTTTTGTATTAAATAATCAAAAACAGTAAATTCAACAGAACTAATACCAGTGTTTTATTTGACAATATGTCTAATTACAAGCTACTCAATTGTTACTTACTAACGGTTAGTTTGTCAGGCAGAATTGTTTATCTTTGAGTCGTATTAGTTGTTCAGTTATGGCAACATATATGGGTACAGGACACATCTCCAAGCAAAGACACCAGATGGAACTTCTCATCTCTATAGAGAAAATAAAGTACATTGGTATGAGTGCTGTCAATAACCAACTGTTGTGCCACCTGCATTCTATCTACACCTTGAGGGGGAAAAGGAGTGATTCAATTAAGCTTACTAAAGCATAGGCTATTCATTATCACAAAGAAAGAGTTCTTCAACTCCCTAATGTATATGTATAAAGAGTATATCCACCCTATACGTACCATACAGAAATACATATAGAACACATGCTAATCTGCAGTATTTATACTGCATGTGTGTAGGCTATTTATCCATTATTTCATTTATATATGCCATTTATCATTATATGTCGCAGAGCTCTAAACAGGAAACATCTGTCATAGAGTGTGTATCAAATAATCACACATTAAATAGAGCACTCTGGGGCTTTCTCCCTGATATATGCATTGCACAACCCAAGATTGTCTGCAACAGCTTACAGATGCTGGTTTCCTTTTATAACATTCAAAACATGAACCCGCTCCTCTTTTGCTTTCAAGTATCAAGATAAAAATGGAAAGCTTTTACAAGCACCCTCCAGTGACTTGCCAATCAGCTGAGGACAGCCGTGCAACAAGTTCTAGCACCGCTTTCAGCCCGGCTCCACACTGTAATTGTACACTGCCTGCTGAAGTACAATATGTTTGTCTTTCCAAATATATCTTAAAGACATACTCTCCCACCTGAACTTGGCTTTCACAGAAGGCTGCAAACAAAGCATCTATTTTTCGGTATGCACTATTCAATTTCCAGAGCTGTGTGAGCATGACTGGATATCACCACCCACCAAGCAGAAATCGCAGACAAATATGATTTCAGCTGAACTCTGTCTAATCCACCACTACACGGACAGCACTTCAAAAATTACTGACATCCTTTAATTATTGATCTACTGCCACATTGGCACAATAGTTCAAGGCTTTTGATAAAACAGCATAAATGGGGAAGTGTGTGTGTGTGTGTGTGTGTGTGTGTGTGTGTGTGTGTGTGTGTGTGTGTGTGTGTGTGTGTGTGTGTGTGTGTGTGTGTGTGTGTGTGTATGGATGCCTGTTAATGGAAGAATACATGAAGTAAGCTAATAGGAGAAACATCAGGTTTGTTGACATTATAAGACAGAGAATAGGTTTTGGTAATTGGTGAGGTGTTGGCAATTAACAAACTTGACAATGTACTGTGACTTGAACTTGAAAGCAACACTTCTAATATTTCAAATACACTTATGTATAATAATAGATAATTTGATGTAATGAAATACCAAATATTTTACAGGATTAATGGACCTTTTGGGCATTCATATTTATTTAATAGAATCATATTTTTAACTTCCCACTTCCATTTATGCGATATGCATTATACAGACTAGAGTGATGTGTATGATCTGACAGGTCATATGCATGGAGGAGGCCGGTGAGAGCCCATATGAATGACATGGGATATGTGGACATGTGGAGCGGTAATGGGAGATGGGAAAGGGGGTGTGTCAGCTTCATTCAGAGGAGAAGGGAAATTGAGCAGATATGAGATTCACCCCTAAGTGGTGTTTTACCACAATAGTTTGCATGAAGGGGATCACGGTGATATCATGGGCTAATTCCACATCTATGGCTTTGATCAAATGAATCATTTACCAATAGGTCTTAACCAAGAGGGCCAACCCAGTGACCGGTAAATGGCATGTGAGTATTCTGAGATGCCACCTGCCACACATGGATGTACAGCAGTTGTTGTTGGTTTCAATGTGGAATTATTTTGCTATGTGGAACTTATATTATAGTATTATTACTGTATCATAACTCAAGCATGACTGTGAAATGAATAAAGGCAATGATGAACATTTAAAACGTGAAACACAGACAGTAAAATATCATTGCAAATGACATCAAAACACAGACATACCGTCTTTGAGTCTAATTCGTGGTGTGGTTGAGCTAAGACTTTATCTACACTAGCAGCATCTGCAAACGTAACGAATCCAAATCCTCTGCAAAACAAAGAAACACAGAGAAACAACAATTAGGTCACACATTATTTATGTAGGCTACATGAGAAGATAGAAATATAAGCTCAACTGTTTCTCTCAGAGTATTAACATATGGTAGCCTATCAAGAATATCATCAACATGCAGAAAAAAATAGAACTGCACACATTTATTTACACTGTCACAATTAACTACTGTTAATTCAAATGATAGAGATAATATCCTCCTGAATTGTAGATTACTATAGTAATTGCGGGCACTGATATTTAAGTTATTTGACGTTATATTGATTTAAAGGAGAGGGGGGGAAACACTACACCAACATTGCAGTGCAGTCCCAAAGTCAATGTCAAATTGCATTCGCCCGCAGCTATCTTTTGAGCTAATATATCTCTGTCAAACACAACGCGGGACAAACAACGCGGGACAAACAGCCCGGGTTAATATGTTGCATATAAACTACACAAGTGTAGGATAGCATTTCACCAACTGGAAAGCAAAAGTAAAAACCTTTTACCTGGAACGTTTTGTCGTAGGGTCTCTCATCACCATACATTCTCTTATTTCTCCGAATTTGCTAAAATAGTCTCTAAGGCTGTCTGTGAACAGAGAAAATATGTCGGATAATTAGAAAATAACAAATGGTCGTCATACTGTTGTCAGTGTGTTTCAAAAACACAGGGGTCGAATAGAGGACTTCAGATGATTGGAAATCTAAAATAACCTTGTGCGCAAACAGAGGGACTCCAAACATCCCATACAGTAGCCTACTGCACACACAGAGAACGCGACCACAGCATGCACAATCAATTATTGCAACAAAACAAGAAACATGGGAAATGTAGGGGAATAATTGTCTCACCTGGTGAGGTTTGCCAGCTGAGGCCACCAATAAACATTTTACTGTAAGAAGAAAACATAGCAGAAGTGAGTACAGATGTCAGATCGGCCATTTTGACGACTAACTACTTCTAAAAGCGATCTTAACGAATAGAGGGAAAAAAGGAAAATAACATTCGCTGGATAGCAATAATGTATCTTATTAAAAGGGGAAGGCCACACTTGCTACTGTAATCTTTCAAAGCAAAGTAGAAGCTTCATCGCTACTAACTGCATCCGGAAGGTAAGACCAATGGTGATGTGCGCACTGCGAGTTGAATCCAGCACCGCACACTTGCTAAATCCTCTCTCAGACATTCTCAGATGAAAAATACAATAAATAAAGGAAAGTCGAAATTGTTATCATCTTACCCCGGGTCATGTTGTGAATCATTTGGGCTTCCAGATGTAACTTGACTCCCGTCTCCTTCCATAGCGAACCAAACTATAGGCAGTAACTACAGTAACAGACACACACAGACACGGCAAACGCTATGCACAGCCCGACTATGAGAATATTACTGAGCCGGGAATGGAATCGTCACACGTGGGATCGGATCAGCTCAACCTAGCTCCCTCCCCTCGCATGCTCTCCCTAGCCCACACTGGGCGGGGCGAGGGCTGTCAACTAACCAATCCAATTGACGTTAATACAGAAACTCCGCCTATGAAACTCTGAAAACCCACTCCCCCTATTGGTCATAACGCTCCTATGACAATGTAACCACGGTGATTAGTTCTAATTGCGATACAAAAAAAAACCGACACGCCTTAATGGCAACATTTTATTTAATGCGTAATTTCCTTCCAGCGCGCGCATGCAATTAGAGAAACGAATAATGATGGACCAAGCTAGTTCATGGTCAAATACCAAAAATAGATTGTACTTGCATGTGAATAGGCCTATTGGCTATTACAGGTTATAAACTATCATATTGATATATTGTGAATCAATTGTTTGCGCCTTTATATCAGCAATATTCTCATTATTTATCCTAAAGAAATGCATGAATATTTTCTGCATGTTTGTATGAACATGTACAGTAGATTGTTCATATTTAATGCAGGCAGAGACCGGTTAAAGTAGGCCTACAGTATTTGAATGGGGGATATTTTGTGTGTTCAAATGGATTGAAGAAACATGTTCCCTCACATGACACTTTTAATAAGATACTATTTTAGTATAATATTTTAGCATTGTATTCCATATTGCATTTTGAAATGCTACAGTACAAGAAACGCAGTCCACCTGAAGATGAAAAAGGAGAAAAAAAAAGAGGTGGATTTAATTGTAACCTCTGAATATGCATGTTCATTACTCAGTAACTGGGGGAAGCGGGCCTAGTTTTCCATTAAATCTGAACATAAGCGAGAGCTCAATTAAAGCTGGATGCTCAGTGGATTTCATGTCATGGTACAGTGATTGCTGTTTATTTCCTTACCGCGGCCAGAGACAGAGGGAGGAAGACACACGGACGTGCACGCGTGCACACAGACACACACTCAAATTGATCTCCTTTTTACTTGAGAAGAACCTTTGTAAAGGCACTTAGAACTGGGTGCAGTGATGTCATTACTGACTTTGAACTGGTTTATCTATGAGAGCTAGTTTAAATGTGGCCACAAGCCACACAGGTCAACTTTTCTGTACAATAAACATTATTGTATACCTTATGAAGTTATTCTAATCAATGTTGAACCTGCTCTTATTCCTTAACAATAGACAGAAGACATATGTAGAGCAGGTTGAACATTGGTAGGTATAATTTATTTTGACATGTAATTGACTATTTTTGGATGAATCACCACTCGAAAAGAGGAAAAAGCCACTTGAAACTATCAACATTACAATGAAATGTTCATGTTTACTCTGGTAAATGAGTCAATACTGTTTATCGTATTCTCTCTTTCAGTGTGTGTGCGTGTGTCTAACATGCATGCGCGCGCGCGCGCGCGCTCTCACTCACTCACTCACTTATTCTCTCATACACACACGGTTTAGCTGAGCGCTAAACAACTAAATATAACAAAGTACTTCACACAAGGCAAGTAAACATCACAATGTGGATCTATCACAGTAATTGTGACAGCTGTTATATTCATTGAAATGAATACACTCCAAGCCAAGGTTGGAGTGGTGGTGCATTCCCTTTAATCTGAGCAGCCACTAGTGTTAAGTGAGCCTTTCTGAGATGCAATTCAGCCTTCAAACAACATGACCGATGCAGCCGAGATCCCTTTCAGAAGTCTACAATTATATACCCTTCCTCTCTGCATATTAATGTAATAAATCCCTACCTATTAATTAACTATACATGCCATCAAAGGTTGGTTCAGTGCTGAAGAGTAAAGGGAAAATATGGTATTTTTGTGATCAAGGGTTTCGAGACAATATGTAAAACGCATGGAAACCCCCTTGACAACAGTGAGGAAACTGTATTATATAATTCTACCACAGGTTGGTGGCACCTTAATTGTTGAGGACGGGCTCGTGTTAATGGCTGGAGCGGAATTCGTGGAATGGTATCAAATGCATCAAACACATGGTTTCCATGTGTTTGATGCCATTCCATTCGCACCGTTCCGGCCATTATTATGAGCCGTCCTCCGCTCAGCAGCCTCCTGAGCATTCTACGGTAGGGACACATTTGTGAATTTGCCTGCAGCTACAATGGCATCTGTGTTTGATTAATGAACGGATAAAGTATTTAAGGGACGGTTTAATATTTTATATCCTACATCTGTTACATGCCTTGAACATATCAATGCACTTCAAAACATTTATGACATGGTTCTCCATTGAAATATGAAACATATGTTCCTGTTGCACAATTAAATATACACAAACAAACTCCAGAGTTTATTTATGCGTTTTTCAATGAGGAAATGTGGTTAAAACATGAAGCTGTGAAATTGAACACTACCTCAATAATGTGAACCCCTCTACCCAGATAGCTGAGCATAGAGACAAGAAAACATTGTGTCCTGAGAGCGTTCATATATTGAACTTACTGTAGCATTGACAAGCATTCAACGTGAGCAATGTTCTCACACAGCTCTGTAGATGGCATTCAACACGCAGAAACGTCACAGTAACTCAAGGATGGCAGAGGGATAACCAGGCCTGTGGATGCTGATCGCAGGGAGCCATTAGGGATTTAAATGGAAGGAGGAGGAAGAAATGATAGTATGAGATGAGAGCAGAGCAGAGGGGAAGAGGAGCGTGAAAGGACAGCTGGGGACCTCCTTGTCTGCTGCAGCTGTCACACGGTCCCTCGTCGTCCTACAGAGAGCTCAAACCGTGAGTGCCAGACGAGATCGATGCGCAGATCTCAGTGACAGTGCCAGTGTGATGCTCTGCTGTTCTGTTAGGAGGCTCTGCGGAGGTCTATTCCTTTATAATGACTTCACATCTTCAAGCCATATTGTAATGACATTTAGTTAAAAGCATGGCCCTGGCCTGCAGTATCCCCCAGAAACAGCCACCATGTTTTTGATGCCATGCATGTCAATTCTTAATGTTGATGTTGGTATTTATTAAAGCAGTGATTCATCAATCTCAGATTAAAATGTCATTTTCCAGCATAAAAAAGTGGGGCATAATACTGGTTGGGAATATTTTGTAGTGATTGCTTTAATTCTGAATAAATCCATTGCTCTTTTGTTGTCATTTTTTAGAGCGCAAATTCTGTCATGCCAAATACAGGGGGACATTAAAGTACCATAACACCAAAAGTTATTTTTCCCAGAGCATTCTACAGTGTCAAAAAGCAATACCTGCGATTTTTTTACCTTCACCATGCAGGAAAACCAAAACCTATAGCATCAGCAGCTCCCCATACTCCTATTAATTCCCAGCACACCTGTGTCCTACATTAGGTTCCATGATTGATTGCAAAAAAATTGCACCTGTTTTGGTTAGCCACCCACACAACTACACAGAAATATCCAGTACAATTATTTGCAGGATAATGTAATGTAAGCCTACAATAGAGCTCTCTATTAAAATAGTATTGTTCATAGGAAAATACTATTCAATAATGTTGTGAGTCATTAATAACCCTAAATACATGGCTAGTTTCTTCCATGAAATGGCAACCTTTGTAATCCATTTCAACCATCACAAATGTACTTTTCTTAAGCACAGTCAGATGAACTTGTGGATACCATGTGTGTCTGCGTGCAGTTTGAAAGAAGTTGCTAACTAGCGCTAGCATATACCCATAGACAGTCATAGCGCTAACGCTAGTTAGCATTGGCGCGCAAAACAAAATTTCTCTAACTTCCTTCATACTGGACAGAGACAAAAATGGTATCCACAAGTTAATCTAACTCTGGGGAAGTAGATAAAGGGTCTCATTGCCAAAATCCCAAAGTATCAGTTTAATAAATGTAACAATAATTTTTATTTTAGATTACATTTCAGTTAAATCACATTCAAATCAAAACATCACAGAGTGCAGCGCTGACTTGAGCATCATGACTAAAGAGAGCCTTTATGGAGCTCAACGTGAGGAGACCTTTGCGAATCCTTCAATCACTCTCCACTGCTGGGGGGTGAGCGAGTGTGCTATTATGAGCAGTGGAAATAATGGAGAATGACAGTGACTTCATTAATCAATGGGGGTCTTGGATGAGGCTCCTCATAGTCCTGCCCTCCGATTAGCTGTTTTTTATTTTATTTTTTTACATGCCACACGCCTTTAATTAGTCTCAAAGACACCAAGGAGCGCATGCTGCTGCATTAACCAGAGGCCTTTGCTGAAAAATGTATGCGCACCACAGGTGATTTCGGAAATCTTACCCAACTCCCCCCAAATATTATCCTATCAGCAGAACAACTCTCTTGACTTCTGCACTGAAATGCACACAGACGGCATACTGGAAGAAACAACCGTCCCTTAGTCTTCAGTCTACACCACTGACACTGTAAATTATAGTGAATAGAACAAAAGGAAGGAAATCCAATCCACAAATCTGGCAGTTCATGACAAATTACCATTTGTATATAATATTGACTTCTCACATTTATATACAGCTGCAACTCAACGGATTTGGGGTGAAACAACCCTTTAAATTTAAACAAAAAGTAAATGAACCTCCCACAAAAAAACCTGGTTAGAAGCTGATGAAAGACTAGGAGTTGCAGAATTGGGATACAACATGAGGATGAAAAGGCAAAGAAGCAGCTAACACATCTGATATACTGCATCTTAAACAAAAAACATTTTACTGTGTTAAATTCAAAGACGGGGATGAATCTAGACGCAAGCAGATAAAACAAATATTTTGTTTTCCTTCATCATAGGCGTGATTTCCTGTATGCAGTATTCATTCAGAATGGCTCTAAAATTGGTCCTAAAAGTGTTTCATTCCATATTTCAGTTGAATGAGTAGTTTGCTACAAAATAACATTAAGGTTGCGTTCCCCTGTTCAGACGTTGCATGAATCAACCAATTGTTGCGTGCCACGTCTTCGACTGACGTATTGCTATAACGTGTGGTTAGTTAAAATACCTATCCAGGCATTGTAAGATTTTACATGCGTCAGCAATGCCTGGGCAGAGGAACGGCCCGAAGTCTTCAGCTGCCTGGAATGATAGGCCTACCAAGGCTGCATTAAAACAGACAGCCCAATTCTTATATTTTGTTCCACTAATTGGTATTTTCACCAATCACATCAGATCTTTTCATATCAGACCTTTTTCAAAGCTGATCTGATTGGTCAAGACCAATTAGTGAAAAAAAATATAAGAATTGGTCTTCCTGTGTAAACCGCCCAAGTTGCCTCAAGTAAACAATGTTTGATTACAACTTTAATTGCAGAGAGTTCATATAACATTTAGCAGTCAAACCAAAATGCATACAAGCTCATTCTTTACAGATGAATCTGTGAATTGATTGAAACATGTGTGTGCTTATCAAGAGAGCAGGTTCTCTCTGTATTCTTAACACTCCCTACCTAGCGCTTGACTAACAGGAATAGCAAAAACTAAGCATTAGGTGCCATCTACTGGATTCACGAGGTAATCTACTCATTCCACCATTCCCCTTTTTTGTAAAATAACGTCTTCTACTTCAAAAACGACTTAAATCAGAGAGAGAAAAATAATACTCATGCTCCCCCTTCAAAAGAAGAAACAAACACTCAGTGAGACGATCAAAAGGAGAAGAACAATAACCCTCAGTGAGAACAATCCAGACAAGTCCCTCATGGGCACTGGCTGATTAAGCAAAAATGTCCTCTGCAGAGCCATATATTTAGAGAGTTTGGAACTTCAGGTCAATTTACAAAAAAAGGATCCTAAATGTGTGTATCATCCAACAAACTCACAAAACGTACACAATATGCCTTAATTTAATACGACCTGATTGAAGCCAATACATTTTCAGACTGTAGCTATTCTGTACATATTACAACATAACAGTCTGTGGCTATGGCCAAAGAGGAGACCTCCGTAAGGACAGTTGATCTTTATTTAGTTTAATAGGACTGTATACATTGAAAACAAAACAGTGTTCAGTGTGTGTGTGTGTGGGGGGGGGGGGGGGGGGGTGAAGTTAGATTAATCATATTGGACAAAAATGTAATAATAATTAACAAACATTTAAAGAAGGAGTGGGTGGGAGTAAAAATAAATAAATACAACTCAGATTGTGTGTGTATGGTTGTAAAGAAACAACAGGAAGACATTGTTGTGCTCCATCAAGGTCAGCAGTCCAGAGGTGGGACTGAGGGGGTAAAAAGGTGAAAGACAAAGGAATACTTCAGAAATCCATTGTTCCTTCCTACCTATCTTGAAGTAATCACAGATCTGAATTGGTGAAAGTAATAGGGTGGTAACCTTACTCACACCTATCCAATCACTTATAGATCTGTGCTTACCTCACAAGGCAGAACGGATGCATTAAAACTATCCGAATAGCCAGGATTGCGCTTCACAGTCAGGTGCTGTCTACCCAGCTGCACGGTTCACAGACTTCAAGAGCAAGAGAGAAACATTAGCAACATGAAACCATTAGAATACTTTTATAAAAAGTATTTTAAAAAGAGGTTTAACATGTAGTGATGCTTTCCTGTTTCAAAATAAACAAAATATTGCTTACCTCTTCTCCTTCTGTTCTCCATATCTGTACCAAAGGAATGCCACTGGTGTGACAGTTTGTGACCTGAGGTGTGTGCAGATATACAGAGTAAGAACAGGGACTACCTCTCCTTATGTCTTTGTGCTGACTGTACACATATCCATGCACTTATTTTCTCTACCTGTGCAAGTAGTGCCAATCCTTGTGTCATTTCCTCCAGTGCTGAAAACTCTTCTCCTAGTAGAAAAGGAAGAGATAACACCGAGATATGAGCATGAACTTTAATTCATGTTTAAATACAGAATTTAACATTTTGATATTCTGTTTTCTTAAAGTAGAGAATAAAGAAATAGAGCTGAAACATACCTGGAAGGGGTGCAATATTTTCCAGGATCACCTCAGACCCTTGGAAAGGCAACGCCACAAAGTCAGATCTGTGGGAGGAGTATCATCAACATCAATCCCACCATTAATCGCAGTGTTTCCACTAGGAATAAAACGTGCCGGTCAAATGTCTGACCAGATTTTAATTTGCTGGACAAAATGTGAGATTTACCGGCCATATTAAATAGATACCCATCTGAATGGTCACGTGTAGTTAATGTTTTTTTATTTTTAGGAGAATCGACTGCCGATTCATTGACACCACATGGAAGTGATTGCAATAATTTTGCAAGGAGGAATGATAGCCTACCAAGTGAACGTTGGCTCCTTACACAATGCACATCTCTGTCCATCTGGCTTATTAATATCCTCTGTTTCAGTGTTGATTTATTTGGTACTAGCTATCTTCATTTGCACTGTTAAGCCAATTACACAACCAGGCATTCGATGAGAGGTAGCAAAATTACATAATCTAAATCTTCCTTGGTGGAAAGGTTTGTGTCTGTCATGGACTCACAGGAACTTTGCTGGCAGGGCCCAGTTGATACAATGTTAAAAGTTTGCTAGTGAGTGTGAGCTCAACACAGACAGGAGCAGTAGACTGGCAGAGTGATGTGATTGAAAGACAACCTGAACCAACCTCCATGGATAGCCAATGTGATTTCTAGAATATATTTATTTTTCATTACGATATTTTTTGCTGGACAATGTGTTTTTATTTCTGGGCTTATGTATTATCTATATCCATCTATCTATTCAGCAAAAAAAGAAACGCCCCTTTTTCAGAACCCTGTCTTTCAAAGAATGCGTAAAAATCAAAATAACTTCATAGATCTTCATTGTAAAGGGTTTAAACACTGTTTCCCATGCTTGTTCAATTAACCATAAACAATTAATGAACATGCACCTGTGAAACGGTCGTTAAGACACTAACAGCTTACAGACGGTAGGCAATTAAGGTCACAGTTATGAAAACATAGGACACTAAAAAAGAGGCCTTTCTACTGACTCTGAAAAACACCAAAAGAAAGATGCCCAGGGTACCTGCTCATCTGCGTGAACGTGCCTTAGGCATGCTGTAAGGAGGCATGAAGACTGCAGATGTGGCCAGGGCAATAAATTGCAATGTCCGTACTGTGAGACGCCTAAGACAGCGCTACAGGGAGACAGGACGGACAGCTGATCATCCTCGCAGTGGCAGACCACGTGTAACAACACCTGCACAGGATCGGTACATCACACCTGCGTGACAGGTACAGGATGGCAACAACAACTGCCAGAGTTACAACAGGAACGCACAATCCCTCCATCAGTGCTCAGACTGTCCGCAATAGGCTGAGAGAGGCTGGACTGATGGCTTGTAGGCCTGTTGTAAGGCAGGTCCTCACCAGACGTCACCTATGGGCACAAACCCACCGTCGCTGGACCAGACAGGACTGGCAAAAAGTGCTCTTCACTGACGACTCGCGGTTTTGTCTCACCAGGGGTGATCGTCGGATTTGCGTTTATCATCGAAGGAATGAGCGTTACGCCGAGGCCTGTACTCTGGAGCGGGATCGATTTGGAGGTGGAGGGTCCGTCATGGTCTGGGGCGGTGTGTCACAGCATCATCGGACTGAGCTTGTTGTCATTGCAGGCAATCTCAATGCTATGCGTTAAAGGGAAGACATCCTCCTCCCTCATGTGGTACCCTTCCTGCAGGCTCATCCTGACATGACCCTCCAGCATGACAATGCAAGACAGGAATGTCAGTGTTCTGCCATGGCCAGCGAAGAGCCCGGATCTCAATCCCATTGAGCATGACCTATTGGATCGGAGGGTGAGGGCTAGGGCCATTCCCCCCAGAAATGTCCAGGAACTTGCAGGTACCTTGGTGGAAGAGTGGGGTAACATCTCACAGCAAGAACTGGCAAATCTGGTGTAGTCCATGAGGAGAAGATGCACTGCAGTACTTAATGCAGCTGGTGGCCACACCAGATACCGACTGTTACTTTTGATTTTGACCCCCCCTTTGTTCAGGGACACATCATTCCATTTCGGTTAGTCACATGGAACTTGTTCAGTTTATGTCTCAGTTGTTGAATCTTGTTATGTTCATACAAATATTTACACATGTTAAGTTTGCTGAAAATAAACGTAGTTGACAGTGATAGGACGTTTCTTTTTTTGCTGAGTATATACATGCATACACACATACACACACAGTGGGGAGAACAAGTATTTGATACACTGCCGATTGTGCAGGTTTTCCTACTTTCAAAGCATGTAGAGGTCTGTAATTTTTATCATAGGTACACTTCAACTTTATTTAGAGTTTATTGAGAAGTGTAACCTTAAAAAAGATCATCTTCAAGGTATTGACACTGATAATGTGTCAATGATGACTGTGGTGCACAACGGGCTGCACAAGATTTTAATGGAAGAATGTGCATTGCTCAATTTGGTACTCATCCACTGTGTGTGCCATTCTTTACAATTGGCGGTCAGTGCAGCATCCAAAGAAACCATCCCTAGCAGTGTTGAGTACTTAAAATCAGGGAACTACGGCGCGAGGCGTACAAAGCAGTGTATGCCACTATTAATTGTGGCCAGAAACCCCTGCAGATCACCAAAGTGTGTGCCACACGTTGGCTATTGATTGAGCCTGCGGTAACTCGTATATTGAGCCAGTGGGAAGAACTGAAACTCCACTCTGAGTTGATCAAGGCCAGTGAGCACTGCTACATGGCGGATGTGCTCCAAGCCATGTACATGGACAAGACCAACTATGTCTACTTGACATTCTTGAAATCAATCCTGTCCGACGTACAAGTTGCAGTGAAGTCATTTGAGGGAGAGCAAACAGATCCTGTCAAGCTTTTGGACAATCTAGTACACCTCTTAACATCAATTTGCACCAGAGTAGTCAACCCTATAGCAAAAATTGATGTCCTGAAGGATGCCATTGATGGACATCTCAGTCCATCACCATACCTTGGGAACCTTCGAGAGCACGGTGTACCAACTCAGTCTTGCGCCAGAGGATGAAAAGGTCATTCGGAGACAGTGCATCAATTACATTGTTGCTTTAAGCAAGGAGCTGCAAGTAAGGCTCCCAGACAACCTGTTTAAATGGTAGGTTTAACAGAATAACAACAAAATTCAGAAAAACACATGTCAAAAATGTTATAAATTGATTTGCATTTTAAATGAGGGAAATAAGTATTTGACCCCCTATCAATCAGAAATATTTCTGGCTCCCAGGTGTCTTTTATACAGGTAACGAGCTGAGATTAGGAGCACACTCTTAAAGGGAGTGCTCCTAATCTCAGTTTGTTACCTGTACAAAAGACACCTGTCCACAGAAGCAATCAATCAATCACATTCCAAACTCTCCACCATGGCCAAGACCAAAGAGCTCTCCAAGGATGTCAGGGACAAGATTGTAGACCTACACAAGGCTGGAATGGGCTACAAGACCATCGCCAAGCAGCTGGTGAGAAGGTGACAACAGTTGGTGCGATTATCCGCAAATGGAAGAAACACAAAATAACTGTCAATCTCCCTCGGCCTGGGGCTCCATGCAAGATCTCACCTCGTGGAGTTGCAATGATCATGAGAATGGTGAGGAATCAGCCCAGAACTACACGGGAGGATCTTGTCAATGATCTCAAGGCAGCTGGGACCATAGTCACCAAGAAAACAATTGGTAACACACTACGCCGTGAAGGACTGAAATCCTGCAGCGCCCGCAAGGTCCCCCTGCTCAAGAAAGCACATATACAGGGCCGTCTGAAATTTGCCAATGAACATCTGAATGATTCAGAGGAGAACTGGGTGAAAGTGTTGTGGTCAGATGAGACCAAACTCGAGTTCTTTGGCATCAACTCAACGTGCTTGGAGGAGGAGAAATGCTGCCTATGACCCCAAGAACACCATCCCCACCGTCAAACATGGAGGTGGAAACATTATGCTTTGGGGTTGTTTTTCTGCTAAGGGGACAGGACAACTTCACTGCATCAAAGGGACGATGGACAGGGCCATGTACCGTCAAATCTTGGGTGAGAACCTCCTTCCCTCAGCCAGGGCATTGAAAATGAGTCGTGGATGGGTATTCCAGCATGACAATGACCCAAAACACACGGCCAAGGCAACAAAGGAGTGGCTCAAGAAGAAGCACATTAAGGTCCTGGAGTGGCCTAGCCAGTCACCAGACCTTAATCCCATAGAAAATCTGTGGAGGGAGCTGAAGGTTCGAGTTGCCAAACGTCAGCCTCGAAACCTTAATGACTTGGAGAAGATCTGCAAAGAGGAGTGGGACAAAATCCCTCCTGAGATGTGTGCAAAACTGGTGGCCAACTACAAGAAACATCTGACCTCTGATTGCCAACAAGGGTTTTGCCACCAAGTACTAAGTCATGTTTTGCAAATCAATTTATAACATTTTTGACATGCGTTTTTCTGGATTTTTTTGTTGTTATTCTGTCTCTCACTGTTAAAATAAACCTACCATTAAAATTATAGACTGATCGTGTCTTTGTCAGTGGGCAAATTTACAAAATCAGCAGAGGATCAAATACTTTTCCCCCTCACTGTAGCCAGTCAAGAAGCACTACAACCTGGAGAGAGCTGGGGAGAGATGCCTGGGGAGACATTATTTGAGTTAAGTTGCTTGTTCAATAAAATAGCATATATACCTTGTTATTAGCTTGTACCTATAATTGTTGATCAGTTAGGTAGCATGTTACCTACCAATACACTGCTTAAAACTATAATTGTTCATAATGTGTAGGTTTACTAGTAAAAAAAAAAAAAAAGTGTAATTCTTCAATAATTCAATGTGGTGTTCAATGTGGTGAGCTCCTGGCGCAGTGGTCTAAGGCACTGCATCGCAGTGCTAACTGTGCCACTAGAGATCCTGGTTCGAATCCAGGCTCTGTTGCAGCCGGCCGCGACCGGGAGACTCATGGGCGGCGCACAATTGGCCCAGCGTCGTCCAGGGTAGGGGAGGGAATGGCCGGCAGGGATGTAGCTCAGTTGATAGAGCATGGCGTTTGCAACGCCAGGGTTGTGGGTTCGATTCCCATGGGGGGCCAGTATAAAAAAAAAAGAAAAAAAAAAGAAAAGGTATTCACTGGCTGTGAGTCGCTCTGGATAAGAGCGTCTGCTAAATGACTAAAATGTAAATGTAAAATGTAAATGTGTTTAAAAATATCTGATCATATAAAATGTGTTGTGTTTATATTACTTTTACAAATATAAATGTGATAATAAACAAACAAATCTAAACTAACAAATGTCAAATCATATTTTTTGCAGAGATGGCCAGTCAATTTGAGTAACGTTATTGTGTATTCTACGTTTACGTTATTACGTCATCACGCAATGACATCACAACGTCATTTAGCAACAAATCGACCTGCTTCTAGCAACTTCCCCTGAAGATTAGTTGGCAACACTGCTTCAGCCAAGCTTACCCAGGATGTGATGGAGAGAGGGGGCAGGCTGGCCACTGGAGGTTGGACATAAGTTGGTCACATCCAGATCTTTGAACTTCTTCCTGATCAGCTCCAGAGCACAATAGACCTGTTCCTTTGACCCTGGAGGAACTAGGACAAACTGAGCGAGCCACTAGCGCCACTACAGCTCCCAAAGCCTAGGTTCCCAAATCCCAACTACAAGTGATGTCCTGTTGTGGAGAGGCAGGTCCTGGGGCACTCACCCTCTGTGTGGCAGATGTGGAACTCCTGGGTGTAAGGCAGGGCGGTGATAAAGACCGTAGCTCCAGACGTCTCCTTCAGATAGTTCACATATCGCCCCTTCTTCCCAATCAATCTACCAACAAAATGCTGTTGGAGTGAAACCAGAGAATACAAAAGAGTGTATCATGCATAAGTTACTATATTACACTAGAAGGTATGCGTCTTTCTCTGTGAGCATGCACACATCTGTCCAGTTCACTCTTGCTCTGATAACATGGGTTCAGTTTGCTCAGATGTAACCAATACCACCAGGCACTTCTAAGAGTAATTGGAAAGAGAGATCACTCCCCCTCTCTGTGTGCCTGGCTCTATGGAGTGACCTCTTGAGTGAGAACCTGAGGAGAGTATGACAACAGGCAGGGCAGCAGGACTCCCTTTACACACTACCCAACCACAGCCCCAATCACCGTGCCATTATAACCCAACCACAGCCCCAATCACTGTGCCATTATTATATCCCCAACCATCGTGCCATTATTATAGCCCCACCCACCGTGCCATTATAGCCCAACCACATCCCCAACCACCGTGCCATTATAGCCCAACCACAGCCCCAACCACTGTGCCATTATCATAGCCCAACTACAGCCCCAACCACCATGCCATTATTATAGCCCAACAGCCACAACCACTGTGCCATTATTATAGCCCAACCACTGTCAAATTATTACAGCCCCAACCACTGTGCCATTATAGCCCAACCACAGCCCCAACCACCGTGCCATTATTATAGCCCAACAGCCCCAACCACCGTGCCATTATTATAACCCAACCACAGCCCCAACCACTGTCAAATTATTACAGCCCCAACCACTGTGCCATTATTATAGCCCAACCACTGTGCCATTATTATAGCCCAACCACAGCCCCAACCACCGTGCCATTATTATAGCCCAACCACCGTGCCATTATTATAGCCCAACCACAGCCCCAACCACCGTGCCATTATTATAGGCCAACCACAGCCCCAACCACTGTGCCATTTTTATAGCCCAACCACCGTGCCATTATTATAGCCCAACCACAGCCCCAACCACCGTGCCATTATTATAGGCCAACCACCATGCCATTATTATAGGCCAACCACCGTGCCATTATTATAGCCCAACCACCGTGCCATTATTATAGCCCAACCACCGTGCCATTATTATAGCCCAACCACCGTGCCATTATTATAGCCCAACCACAGCCCTATGAATCAGACAGCTGTACCCAGGTCACCGGAGCACCAGGTCTCAGTCTCACTTACAGAGAGATGACTGCAGCACACTACTGTAACAACAAGGCTATATCTACAAGCCCTCATATCACCTACATTAGAGAACCTAAACTGGAAATCAGTAGCCAGAGAAAATACATTATCAGTAAGGTGGTGGAGGAATGATGAGGGTTAGACAGGGAGGTAGACTCACCTTTGGCACCTCTATCTCCCAAACAGTCAGTGGCTGGCTGCTGTTGTGACTTTGGATGTATTTTACAATTGCCTGATCGGTGTTCAGTAGTTGACTTGGTGGACTGGGACTGTTGCTATGCTTGTTGTCCCTGGCTTCGTGTTCACAGTAACTGTCTACACAGTCCATGCTGTTCACATCAGAGCCTGGGGGCAGCAAGGATCAGTCACTAAAAACAGTCACTTGTGTTGTGTACACAACAAACTAGCAAACACAGCCCAACAGTAACAGGGAAGAGAACACATCCTGTCATGGCAAGAGTTCTCGTACTTGAAACTGTGCATAAAAGGAAAATAAATATATTTAAAACAGGCCAGCTTGGACAGAAAGGATGCCGATATATTGTGAGAAGTTGAAAGTCTGCTTTGTGGCGGCTCACCCGGAATGTCCACCTCCTCCATCCTGTGGCCGTTAGTGAAGGACATGCTGGTGGCCCCCAGTCCTTCAGCTGGTACCCTGGGTGGTTGCAGGCTCACACTGGTGCTCAAGTCCTTGCCACTGGAGCCCTCTTCGGTCTGGCCTGAGCTAGATCCAGAATCACCTACTGCAGAATCTTCTTTTGCTAGCTCGGTCTTCTCAGTCTCAATCTCAACTGTACTGCTGCGGTCGTGTTTCACATCCTCCTGAACTATAGGAGACTCTCTGCCGGTTGTTGAACACTGATCCTCCTGCAATAGAGGAGGCATCTCACTCTCAGGTTCACTGTTATCCATTGAGATGTGGTCCGGGGCTTTGCAGGGGTCCCTGCTACGGAGAGGACTAACACTATGTCCTAGCAGGGTCTTTTCCTTCAGGAATTGACTCACTGCTGCAGAGACCACGTCAGCCTTGAGGCAGACACCTGACTGCTTATTAGGTGGCTGGGGGAAGCCAAACAGGTGTCATCCTGTCGACTTCACTCACAGGTTGGTTCTTCCACAGCAGGCAGGATGTCTTTGGAGAAGAGGGAGTTCTTAGCCAGATTGGTTTGCAGCCTCACCTCTGCAAAATGCACTGACATCTTGTCTTCTCCAACCTCTCCCTCTGGGTCCAGTCTAACCTCTCCCTCTGGGTCCAGTCTAACCTCTCCCGCTGGGTCCAGTCTAACCTCTCCCGCTGGGTCCAGTCTAACCTCTCCCTCTGGGTCCAGTCTAACCTCTCCCTCTGGGTCCAGTCTAACCTCTCCCTCTGGGTCCAGTCTAACCTCTCCCTCTGGGTCCAGTCTAACCTCTCCCTCTGGGTCCAGTCTAACCTCTCCCTCTGGGTCCAGTCTAACCTCTCCCTCTGGGTCCAGTCTAACCTCTCCCTCTGGGTCCAGTCTAACCTCTCCCTCTGGGTCCAGTCTAACCTCTCCCTCTGGGTCCAGTCTAACCTCTCCCTCTGGGTCCAGTCTAACCTCTCCCTCTGGGTCCAGTCTAACCTCTCCCTCTGGGTCCAGTCTAACCTCTCCCTCTGGGTCCAGTCTAACCTCTCCCTCTGGGTCCAGTCTAACCTCTCCCTCTGGGTCCAGTCTAACCTCTCCCTCTGGGTCCAGTCTAACCTCTGCAGTTTCTTGGTTCAAAGTGCTGTTTGTAGTGTCCTCCAGTGTCTCAGACGGTGGTGGTGGTTGTGGATTTATACCTGCACTTTCACTGCAGACATTAGATTTACCAGAGCCTAGGTCACAGAGTCGACTTGCTCCACATCAGAACATGGCTGGTGTTTCCTTTGTAATGCTAGATCATTCTCAGGTCCACCCTGGGCTTGGCTCTCAGATGCAGTCTCTGGGAACACTTGAGCTGAAGACTCAGTGCTCTCTGTAATAGGCTTCACGGCAGCAGTATCCAGGTCACTACCGAGACAGTCTGCAGCCATAACCCTTACCTCAGGTTGTGATTGGCAGAGTGGAACTGTACCCAGCTCTGCTGCCGCTGGGGTGTTTGTACTATCAACAAGCTCCTGTTCCACTAACAACCTCTCCCTCACTGCGTGCCTGTCCATATGCATCCCAGTAGAGTGGCCGTTCTCCACAACACAGTTACCTACGTCTATGGGGTAGGAGGACAGCTGCTCCTGGTCTTTGGTCGTCTCCTCATTTGTGCCATCCTTGTCAGCAAGGCGCTCTTTCTTCCAAGAAGTGTACCACCACAAGCCTAGGAAAGCCAACACTACCGACAGGTAGAGGGTCAGAACGGATTGAAGCCTCAGTACCATCACCTAACCGCCTACTGCTGCTAACAGCAACACCTGAGAAAAGAGACAGACAAGTTAACACCAGAGACAAATCTCAACGGCCCGTCTTTACTGCTGGCTGGGATAGAAACGGGTGAAGTACTGATAAGGCTCCAGTTAAGGGGAGGGCTAAGGGGGCATAGCCACACCATCCTTCTCTATCCAGAAAAAAAACCTTTGTCTCTACCACACCACCCCTCTGAGCAGCAAACCCATTAACAGCCAGGCCATGGTGACAGCATCTGATTACAGCCAACAGAGCTCAGGTCAGGTGTCACATGGTACCCTCTGCAGTAGTTCACTTAGGGACGCTGGGTATAGGACAATGACAGTGATTATTAGTTACTGTATGAGGGGGACCACTATCCCTTTTATTATCAGTTATATAACCAATAGGCTACATATCTTGTGTATGAATTATCACCAGTAATATACTGAACAAAAATAAACGCAACATGCAACAATTTCCAAGATTTTACTGAGTTAAACAAACAAAAAAAGTCAATTGAAATAAAATTCATTAGGCCCTAATCTATGGATTTCACGACTGGGAATACCGATATGCATCCGTTGGACCGAATTTAAAACAAAAAGGCCTTGCAATGGGCCTCATGACCTCACAGTATTTCTGTGCATTCAAATTGCCATCGATAAAATACAATTGCGTGTTCGTAGCTTACGCCTGCCCATTCCATAACCCCACTGCCACCATGTTCACAACGTTGACATCAGCAAACCGCTCACCCACGTGGTCTGCGGTTATGAAACCGGTTGGGATGTACTACCAAATTCTGTAAAATGACGTTGGAGGCGGCTTATGGTAGAGAAATAAACATTCAATTCTCAGGCAACCGCTCTGGTGGACATTCCTGCAGTCAGCATGCCAATTGCACACTCCCTCAAAACTTGAGACATTGTGGCATTGTGTTGTGCGATAAAACCTTTTATTGTCCCCAGCACAAGGTAAACCTGTGTAATGATCATGCTGTTTAATCAGCTTATTGATATGCCACACCTGTCAGGTGGATGGATTATCTTGGCAAATGAGAAATGCTCACTAACAGGGAAACAAATTCTAAAAACATTTCTGCAAAGAAATTGAGAGAAATACACTTTGTGCGTATGCAACATTTCTGGGATCTTTTATATGAAACATGGGACCAACAGTTTACATGTTGCGTTTATATTTTTGCTCAGTGTAGGTTGACAAATTGTGTTCTTGCCACAGAAGATAACAGTCTAGTTAGCTAGAAGTAATGTTTGCAGTTTGGCCAGACCCTGAATGGCTGTCCTATGTGCAGGTCCACCCATAACTTTTTTGTAGAGCATTATAAAAAGGTGGTGAGTGAAAGGCATGCCATTCCCTCACAGATCCTGTCTGTGCAATGAAACAACGTCACGGGCTACATTGCAGTTCCACTAAAGCCTGTGACCTTCAGGCTATGGCATACCGACAAGTTGGCTACTCCTCTCGCCAGGCATGCCAGTCATGGCATCGAGGCCGCACGATAGGCTAGAGAAGTAACAGTACCGCAACATGACAAATACTGTAGCACTTATCTTTCTCCAAGGAGGGAAGCTAACATATTTACAATAGTTTGTTTTAAGTTCCAGAAGGAAATAATAACTTAATAGCATCATAAACATCTGAAACATGCTAATATATGGTTCAGAAAACAAATGAGACATAGCCTATAGCATAGGGCAGACTACCGCAGTTAATTTATGAATGGTGATCTTCGAGACGGGACAAGGGGATTAGCCTAAAAGTTTGACAAACAAGCAGGTTCATGTGATGGTCCAGTCTTAGTATTCCTCAAAGTATTTGAAAACCTATAGTCTCTTTACAGGGTCTCCACTCCCAGCAGGAGAGGGGAGTGATAGGCCTACCTACCATGCTCACCAATATCCCCTCTCACAAAAGCCAGACCTCTGACTGCAGACATTTGCCATCTGACAAATCATAGATAGACCATGAACACAGCCAATATTCATCTGACTGTAGTCTAACTAGAGTATGTTTATTTTTTATTTTTATTGAATTGTAGCCCATATAAGGCTAAACCAAAACAGATCAAATTAGTTGAATCCTTGTGGAATAGTACATTAGTTAGCATGTTTCCTAGAATGTATGTTGCCGTTCAATTTTGATGATAAATGTAGCCAACATTGAACTGAAGGTGGTGTCAGGAAAGACCGTACATGGCATAAGAAAATTACTTGTAGTTTTGCCAACGGTATACATTGAAAAAGTTTATTTAATGCCTAGCTAATTATCCTAATAGGATTGAGGGACCTCTAGCTATTGCGTTTGCTTTAGGTCAAATAGTCAATTGAGCAAGCATGGACCCACAGAGATAACCTGTGGTCCTTATAACTAATAAATCATTGGTAGCATGTTTCTGGTCTCAGGTTCAGGAATGGCTGAAAAAGCAAAAACATTAATCTAAAATTCACCCCAAAAATAGCATTATTGGGAGTTCTGGAGAGACCTGGTCAGTCAATTACTAATACTCCTAGTAAAAGTATTTATCTTCCACTCGCAATCTGTGGATTCTATTCGATTAGTTAGATTCAAAATTGTATGTTAAACATCACAGCATAGTTGAAACACATATGGTGCGTAGAAATCCGAAGAGGGTGGCCAGCAGAGATAGGTGGGATGGGCTGAGGGAAGCTGAGGGTTAGGATGTGGAATTGGAGACAAGTGGGAGTGGAGTTGCTGGGGGGGGGAAATAGAATGACAGTCAAAGTTAAAAAGTACAAAAATAAAGTCAAAATAAAACAAAAAGTATGTTTGAATTTATGGGGGGGGGGGGGGGTCTCAGATCTTGGAGGGCTAGTAGCCTGGCTGTAGGGAGCTTGGGCCGGTGGCTGATATGTCACTGGTTCGGGTCCCCTTTTTTGGCCTTGTGGGATGGGAGTCTGTTAGATGACTGAATGTAATGTAAATGTTGAGCGGCGTCACTGCAAGTAGATTGTATGCTTTAATATTCAATAATAATAAAATCTATAAATAATTGGCTAATCCCACCATTTCTAGCTGTTCCAGCTGGCCGACAGCTGTTGATACGTAGCTAGTGTAACGCTTAGCAGGCACATTTTCGGCAAAACAGTTCTTGGTGATACACTTTTCTTCCGAATCGAGAACGAAGAAAGTATCTTATGTCAGTGTCATATAAAAATACTCAATCCACATTTTGTACAGAGTGAGGAGTTACCTTGCCAATTTAGCTACCAGACATCTTGCATTTCCCAACATCTTTGCAGCAACTAGTCATTTCTATGCGACGCAGCCACATGTAGAAGTAGATGACAGTGCGACCAAATCAAAAATCTACACACATGCAAGATGTGGATTTAATATCCTTCTGAATATATTTTTGGGAAAACCATCTGCAACTGGACACAGGCATTTATAAAGATCAACTTTTATTCGGAATCAACAAAGAAAGTATAGCCAACAACAGGTTAGTTGAAAAATGGGTGCCGTTGCATTCCATTAGCCAAACTAACACTGTATGGAGCCATTACGATTCTGTAGCTATGGTCCTTAGTGCATGATGACCCTGAATAAAACAAACACGTGCGACTGATTGGAACTCATTAATATTGCATTGACAGCTATCCAGTATCAGCAACACATTTTCCCCCCTCAAATGACAGACCTACTGAAGTCATCCTTCATTAAAAGGTGGTTTGCAGGGTCGAAATATAGCTATCAGAAAATATTAGTCTCTACAGAAAGACTAAAGAAATTGTCATTCTGACCGGCAAAAAATGGGAATCACATGCGCGGGACAGCTACTAATTAATGCAACGCGCTAGCTGGCAACCACTTGAATGACGTTTTTTGCTGCAGTCAGAAGCAATGCTATGTATTAATCCTAGATCACTAACAGGGGCACTGTTTTGAAGCCACAGCACAGCCATTTTGGTACTCCATTGTAAAAATGATTTTGGAAGCTATAGAAATGCATTTATACTGAAAAAAATATTAACAGCCTCACAACCACATCTAACCACGCCAGCCCAGGACCTGCACATCCGGCTTCTTCACCTGCGGGATAGTCTGAGACCAGCTGATGAAACTGGACAGCTGATGAAACTGAGGAGTATTTCTGGTCTGTAATAAAGCCCTTGTGGGGAATAACACATTCTGATTGGCTGGGCCTGGCTCCCAAGTGGGTGGGCCTATGCCCTCCTAGACCCACACATGGCTGCGCCCCTGCCCAGTCATGTCAAATCCATAGAGTAGGGCCTAATGAATTTATTTAAAATTTACAGATTTCCTTGTATGAACTAACTCAGTAAAATCATTGAAATTGTTGCATTTATATTTTTGTTCAGTATATTAAAAAGGTGTACATTCGTTTGACAAGTATATTGTATTAGACACATTCATGCACACTTAAATTATGAACATAAAAAAATACTGAAAAAATATAAAACGCAACATGTAAAGTGGTGGTCCCATGTTTCATGAGCTGAAATAAAAGATCCCAGAAACTTTCCATACGCACAAAAAGTTTCTCTCAAATGTCTCCTTTGCCAAGATAATCCATCCACCTGACAGGTGTGGCATATCAAGAAGCTGATTAAACAGCATGATTACACAGGTGCACCTTGTGCTGGGGAAAATAAAAGGCCACTCTAAAATGTGCAGTTGTGACACAACACAATGCCACAGATGTCTCCAGTTGAGCGAGCGTGCAATTGGCATGCTGACTGCAGGAATGTCCACCAGAGCTGTTGCCAGAGAATTGAATGTTAATTTCTCCACCATAAACTGCATCCGTCATTTTAGAGTATTTGGCAGTATGTCCAACCGGCCTCACAACCGCAGACCACATGTATGGCGTTGTGTGGGCAAGTGGTTTGCTGATGTCAATGTTGTGAACGGAGAGCCCCATGGTGGCAGTGGGGTTACGGTATGGGCAGGCATAAGCTACGGACAACGAACAGAGAGTATTAATGTTACT